GCAAATTATCGGTTGCATCCGAAAGTTTTTAGTAACTTTTTAAATAAATAGCGACAAAAATGAATTAAAATAATTAAGCAATCAATGGAAGAAAGAGAATTTTTCAAATCACATATTTTTAATTTAAAGAAAATATTTATACCCATTAAATAATTGAAAATAATTTCATTGAATTTCAAATTTATAATACATATTCTTTCTTAAAAATCCAAAACTTTACAAGAAATTTCTTTTTTGAAACAATTATGATAAATATTTGTTTATAAATAATTTATAATTCATACATATAAATTTGTTATTTATAGTATCGTATATAAATATAATATATAAATTTGTTATTTATAGTAAACATTGAATCAAACTGAAAAAAAAAAGATTATATAAACAGCATTATCGATCTATTATTCATTTCTTGTATGAATTAATTATTAGTTTGATCGAACTGAAAAATGAAAGATTGGGTAAATAGCATTATCGATCTATTACTGATTTATTATTTAAATTAATTAATAGTAAAATCAAGCTGAAAAAAGATTACAGTATTATTGGTAGCATTATAACATTATCGACCTATTGCTAATTTATTATTTGAATTAATTTTATTTTATACGCCCAAATTACTTGGACTATTACAGATTATGTGATTTATTTATTGTAAAATGAGCAATTATTCTTTTCTCTGCATGTGACAGTTTTTTTTCTTATTAAAGTAACTTTTTTGACATTTGCAATTTTCCTGAAATATCTCGGGAATTTTGTGAATGAGCCTTCAATCATTTTTTATTCTCTTTTTGCTCTTTTTTCCTTTTTTTTGTTTCAATTTATTTCTCAGTTTGACAAATAATTTCTTTTCATTCATTTTTTAATTAAAATGGAATAAAATGTTAGCCAAAATATAAAATTTTAAATTAAAATGCTGAAATAAAGAAAACGAAAAGGAAAAAACGATCAAAATTACAAATGAAAATGACTCATCCATAAATTTAATATTTACAAATTTTAATAGATTTATTGGTTGTTGTATTAGAAAAACATGACATTGATAAGTTACCCATAAACATGCATATATTAAAATTGAATCACATATATGTATGTACACACACGCACACATACATATATATATATATATACGTATACACACATACACACATGCACAGACATACACGCTATACACACATACATACACATACACGCATACACATAAACACATACACGTACATGCTCACAAAACGCATATACACACATACACACATATCACACCCATTCACGCGTAAACACATACACGCACACATATATACACATACACACATACACACACATACACATACGTATATACAGAAGACACGTAAACTCCGCAATTTATTTTATAACAAGTAAGTAAGTTTCTAATTAAAAAAATCCTTTCTGTTTCTTTCATCTCCCTGTCCAATAACACCAATTAATAATCGAAAGTCTGAATATTTATCATTTATCTTTATTTATTGCAAATTTCTAATTCCACCATTTCATTTTCCAATTAATTAATTAATGAAATAGATAAATGAGTGCTACCAAGCGTAGTTAACTATTTGAAATGATAAGATAGCATAAAGACTAAAATAGAATCAATGTTGTGATATTTGTTACATACTCTTAATATCATAGTGAAAGTGATCCCATTATTACAATCATGATTACTATGGTCAATTTAATCATATACTTTATCCTAGTCGTATATCCTATTTTAGCGTTATATTTCATCATAGTCTTATATTCTGTCTTAATTATATTTTTATCTTAATCATATACTTTATTAGTTAAACATTATCACTTTTGATTAGGTTTTTTTTTCTCTTTTTTTTGCTTATATGCTGATGATATTTATAATAGAATTCGTTTAATGCATATCAATTTTGGCAATTCTATTCGATCTAATATTTATTACATGTTTTTTTTATTTGAAGTAAATGGATGATTTAGAATATACAAATTTAATTGCCATTTTCAATCAACAATATAGTGGAGTAATTTACCAAGCAAAAAATACGCATACAATAAGAAAATAATAAGTGAAGTAATCATTAATCGATGTTGTATAAAAGTGATGATGTAAAGAAGGTGAATGCTATTTGCTAAGGTAATCTTTAAATGGACGAATTAATTATTATTCCATTCCAGTAAACAATTTTCACTTCCTTATGAGATTAACATTCGATCATTTAATTAACAACTAGTCAGTCAACTTCATTTGAATAATTTGACTTTTGTTGAAATCATATCAACTATTTATAGCAATTCAAATCCATTAAATGAGTAATAAGTATCGAATGGATAATATCATTTGGTACCTATGGCAACACCTCCCTCTTCACCACTAATTTTTAATTACCGCCACTACTATTTATCACTAAAATTTATCGACTTGTCATTGATTATTATTATTAACTTAATTACTACTATCATTGGCTTACCTCAGCCAGGTAAATCATATATTGGCTTAGGCTTCAGGGAAAACAAATCCAAAAAGGAAAAAATCAAAAATTTTAATATAATTTTGCTAGATTTGATAGTGTGCAAAAAAGTTTTGCCGAAGTTTTAAGCATTTTAGACACCTTATTTAAAAGTTTTAAGAGATCAAGGAAAATTTTACAAATTAAATTAGAAAAAAGAAGAATTCTATATCTTGATATTTCTATATTTCTCTACCGTAATACTATCCGGTTCTGTCAATTTTAGGAATGGCAGGATAAAAAAAAAGATCCGATCAAGAATTTGAATTTTCCCGAACGGTAATAGCATAATATTGTGAGGTTTAAAGCTTTCCGAATTCCGGAATAAAAATATAAAATCAGGAAAACCGACTGATTACTTTTGATATTGTTTCTCTCCAACAAATTTCACATCTTTCCATTTCCTGTTACCTGTTGTTTCTCTATCATTTTGTAAAGCCAAAAAACGATGCCAAGTTCCAAGGCTCATTTTCCTTAGCCAAGCTATATGATATAGTTTTTTTCATTTCTCTTTTTTTTATTCCACCCCCGAATAAAGTAATCCTTGTTTAGACAAGCACTTCACCGCCATCCGACCACCTTCTGCTCTTTCGTCTTCTTCTCCGGGCGCTATCAACCAATTTATTTCAACACAATTACCAATGAGGACGAACAACAATAAAAAAAACAGAAAAAATTCATTTTAATTTTTTTTCCATCTCATTTCCTTCATATCCTTTCCTCTTCGTTATAAATTCTAATATTTTAGTAGTTTTAGGCTCACTTGTTTACTGTCCTCTAAGGCCTAATCCTTGACAAAACCTTTACCCTCTCATCATTGAACATAGACACAAATGTAAATTGTCATACTTAACTTAAAATTCACTCATTGAAGACACCTGCTTATCTATCTGGCTGATAATTTGAGCTTCCGTAATTAGAAGATTTGTTTCAGGAAATTAAATTTTCCTTTTTTTTTTCTACTTAATTATTTATAACACATTTAGATCGAAAGGAAGTTGGGAATTTCGCGCTTCGTTAGGAAGAAATGATTCAATTTTAAAATTCGTTTTATCGATTCCTCTCAATTTTTTAATTAACTTTCGTATGACAGATGAACATTATCTGCTCAACGAATCTGTTTACCGCAAAAAAAAAAGAAAATTGAAAAAATCCTCATAATTTTCCTGTCCAATTTTTCTGATAATTTTTTGGAGAAATTTTTTTTACGGCATATAAAATTATTACCAAAAAAAGAAATTGTATTCCGTATTTTGGGATTCCGGAAAATATTAATATGATCAGGTAAGCTCTTCAGAAAGTTTCAAATGTCATCTTTTTTCGTCCTCTCTTCTTACTTTTGCTCCCTTTCTTTCATTTAGTACAGTTTTTTTTTATATGGCATGTATCATCAATGATCAATTGATAGTGGAAAATGATATCGACCAGGTTTGATTAGAAATGATATCGATCAAGTCTGATTACACAAAAACGATATCGATTAGGTTTGATTGGATAAAAATTACATCGAACAGGTTTGATTAAATAAAAAGTTGAAAAATTTTTAAATGAAAATATTTTCATTTGTTTTGCTGAAAGATATTGTTAATTCAATGAAAGTTGTTAATTATATCTTTTAAAAATTATTCAAAGTGAAAAACAATGAAATTTAAAAAGGAAAAAAAAAGTGACCCAAAATGGAATTGTTTTTAAAAAGTATTGGAAAGAATCAAAGATTACAAATCAATTTGTATGGTTAACGATAAATAATAAAACGAAATTTTCAATTCAACAAAATGTTAATGATTTAAAACGTCAAGAAAAACGACGAAGTTAGGTTATCCGGAAGGAAGGAAGTATATAAAAGCTAAGGATGTGCAGATTAAATGATGGAAAAATTAATGAAATGTACGGAAGGAAAAAGGATCGGAGTTTTGCAAGGAGGAAAGATGTCGTCGTAGATTTGATGAAAATTTTTATTTAAGAAAAGAGAGAGAGAGAGAAAAGATGAATGATGAGAAATGATGAATCCCTCCTCCTCCTTCTTCGTTTCTCCATTAGATGGATGAAATCAAATTTAATTTAGTTTAGATTTAAAAGCTGCTATTTCTATGTTTTACTTTTATTCTGCTTCATTGGAATAGTTTAAATGAGCCAAAACAAGAATAAGTTAATCGGACAGAAAAATTGCTGCTGGCAACGTTTGCTTTTATTCTATCAAAACCGGAAAAGCGGAATAATTCATAGTGAAATTGAAATTCTTATTAAGGAAAAAGAAAATACAAATCCATCTAATATAACTTATCTTTTGACTAATTTTCATTTGCATTATAATAGATTACTTTTGTTATCATAATCTAAATGTACGTATTAATCATATCGAAGGTAAGCTCACTGTACGTATTCAAATCACCATATCAGTTCCCACTAAATGTATAGTTATTATATTTTATAGTTACTATCAAAATATAGTTGTCATCAAAACCCAAAGTAGCATACTTATCAAAGTCGCATAGCAGTTTTTTTTTTTTGGTAAGTATACTTATCAAAATCATAAAGTAGTTTTTTGTTACCAACTAATTAGAACCAAAGCAAAATGCTTCATTTCATTATCATTAGAAAATAGTTATTGCATGAAACTTAGCTACATGAGAATTCCGGAATTCCGGACTGCTAGAATCATTTGAAAGATTTTTTGTTATACTTAATTGCAGGATAAATTTTACATCAATTACAATCATTAATCATTTATTATCTCCAGTTATCTAGAAATTATCGAAGATATCTTGAATAATTAACATTCCATGATCGCTCTCTTTTTGCGTCAAATTAAACATTTTGCAAAGATATCTGACATTAAATCAAATCTCACATTAATGAAAATTTTATTGTGGCAAAGTAAATTAGATCAAAAATCATACATTCGTATATACAAACAAACAGGATAATTTATTTTTTGTTCGTTTTTTTCCCTCTTACATCTTCGAAATTCACTTATTTTTTTCTTGTTTTGCTTTTTAGCACTTAGAGAAATGAAATATATAAATTCAGGAAAAAAAAATTCCTTATCATTCAATTGCAAATATAACTAAATTGGAACTTGAAATAAGCTAAATTTTAAGTAATCGAATTAATAATTCAAAATGAACAAATCACTGAATAATAAATGAAATTCAAATTGGCAAAAAGGAAAGATTATACAGTATTTGAGGAAATAATTTAATTAAGAATGGGAATAGTCATCATATAACTAAAATGCGATGAAAAATATGAGGTGTAAAAATGATTGAAAAATACAAAAATTATAGCAAAAGAATGGAATATTCATTCATCGTGACAAGAGAATTGAAAAAGAACATGAAAACATCCAAAATATAATAATTTCAGTTCAACAAAAACCGGAATTTAAATAGTGAAAATATATCAGTGAAAAGATATCATAGCGAACAGTAATAAATTTAAATAAAAATTTAATCAAATTTTTTTTAAAGAAGAATTTTGAATTCAACAATAAACTTTATGAGTACACTAACAAAAGAAGAAAAAAAACTAAAAGCATCATGAAAAATGTGGAATGAAATACGGAAAAAAGAAAAACTTGAAAGAGATGAAAAAAAAGATTTTTCTGAAAGCATTTATCAGATTTATTAAATGATTGCAAAAAAAAAATCAAAATTATTAATTTGCATTTAAAATTAGCAGGAATACGACAATTATTAGCATGAAGTGTATAAGAAATGTATAAAACTTAAATACTAATTGAATATATTAAGTATAAATTTAGATAACTAACCTTATAAGATTCGCTCTTAATTGATGAATTGCTAAAAAACAAATCATTTAATAATTTCAATATTTTCAATAAATTCCTTCAACAAAAAATAAAATTTCTGATTTGATACATATAAACTCATAAAATTATTAAAATAATCTCTGTGGAAATATTAATTTGTTATGTTATGCGACAATATCACATACAAATGATGATTGAAACTATGAAACAGAGATTGACACTGATTGTTCAATAATTGTCCCATCATGATTTTCCTCAGTAATTTTTCCCATCATTGAACTACCACTACTACTACTACTACTACTACTACTACTACTACTCCTTCGCCATTCTTTAACATCCATATTATCTTTTTTTGATTCATGAATTTTAGGTAATTGTGGTAAATCAAACATTTTGAAATTAGCACTTCGTTTTGATAAGCTTGGATAGAGTGATAAGTAATTTCGTGGTACTAAGCCTTGTTCAGCTGTTCCAACTCTAATATTACAGTGATCTTCCGTTACAATCTCACAAAGCCACCATGTCTGATCGTTGACACCTTTTTCTAATACCCGCAAACATGCACCAATGGAGAAACTTAATTCATCATCCTGCTCTTTCTCATAGTCATACGCTGCATACATCTGGAAAAAATTTATTTTATAGCTAATAAATTTAAACAAATTAATCAAATTTGTTTGAAAAATTCTTGAAAAACAAATGAATGAATTTTTTTTTCGAAATTCAATCACTGAAAAAATAATTTTCATAAAAATTACTTCCAGATGGTGAAGATACATTATAGTATGATGACAAAAGTTTGTAGTGAAAAAACAAAAGAAAAGCAGAAAAAAATTTACTAATCCATCATTCACAATTCCGGCTTCCTGATCAGCAGCTTTAAGATAGAGTTGACAACCTTCATAGCCATCTTCATCTTCTTCACATTTTTCAGCTGGTGTTTCTAGATCTGATAATGTTTGTGCAAAAATACAAGCACCATTTTCCACCAACAATTTTACCATTGGTAAATTGTTACATGATGCAGCACAATGTAATGGTGTCCAACCATCTGAATCCTAAATACACAATGACCTAAATTTTAATCATAATTAAAATTATGAAAAAATATTTATTAAGAAATTATGATAAGGTTCTATTGTAATTTTGAAAAAAGTTTCAAAAATAGAAAATTTAAAGTTTTCCAATTACAAATCCAGCCAAATAGTAAAAGTTAAAAAAAAAATGCTTAACATACTTGAGCATTTACATCAGCAAATGAATCCACCAAATAACGTACAATCTCGTAATGACCAGCGCAAATTGCATTATGCAGCGCTGTAATACCTTCATCGTTGCATGCTGATATATTTGGCAACTGACAAAAAAAAAAATAAAATACAGACATTAGGCAGTGATATTTAATTCGAGGGAATTAATCAATGAACCTTAATTCCAATATAAAAAAAATCAATCGATAATTCTATCTACAATTACTGCTAATTTTGCAGAGGAAAAACTCGGAAACTATGATATATCTTCGAAGTTAACATTATTATTTTTACAAAAGATGAAATCTTTGGAATACAATAAAAGAACATTTCGAAAATTTGTAATTTGCGGTCGGAATAAAAGTTACCACCATAAATTTTATTCTAAAATTATAGCAGAAAGAAAAAAAAACCTTTGCGGCACTTGCTTTTACCAGATCCATTTCACCTTCTAAAGCTGCATCTAACAGTAATGCTAACGGATCAAAAACCACTTTTCTTGAAATGTTTTTCATTTTATTGTGACGAAGAATACCCTAAAACAGAGGAAAAAAAGAAATTAATCGAAAAAAAAAAGTTAAAAGTAGAAACCAAAAATAGAAACTAAAAAAGAGAAAAATAAAAAAAATTAAAGGAAAAAGTAGAAACAGAAATTAAATCTTCTTAGGAATTTTTTGTGATTTCAAATCTTCCTTTAATTTGACAATTTGAAATAATGAAATTTCAAATATGACAAAAAAAAAAAACTATCAGGGAGGCAATAACCGGTAAGCATAACATAACACATATGAATCCATTTTAATCAGCTAATGATGTATACTGGAATTACTTAACCCAATATGCATCATTCAATACTGGCTTATTGACTCATTCCAAGTGTATTCATGGAATATCCCGAAGTATTTACATCAATAAAAACAACTCAACTATTAGTACATCCATTTCATGATGACATGTCATAGAGAGATGGATGGATGAATGAATAAAAGATGAAGTAAATCCTAAGAATCGAATAACATAACAAGATTGCAAATTATACAATTGAAAAGAGAGGTACAGATTTGAAAAGTGAAAAGTAATTGAAATACCTTTTCGGGTAATGGCTTGATAAGTTCTGCAATACCGGACGTTTTCTTTTGCTCATCCATTTCATCTGCCATTTCTCCGGTAAATTCATTGCTAACAAATACCTTTTCTTGTTCATATTCTTCCAGATGCTCAATTTCAATCGGTAATTCATCAAGTTGAATATCCCTCATAAGAAGTTCACATATATATTCGTTAGGCGTTGCTACAGTATCTTCTATAGCGTCCTTTTCTTCTTCATGGATTATTTCTGATTTATTTATTGTATTCTAAAATATGGTATGGTCAATCTAACTTGGCACTAAACGATCTTCTATATTATTAATTTAAAATTTATCCCATACATTTTGCATGCAAATTCCAAGTGATCTATGGTGTCACAGTACCTTACAATATATGTGTTAAATTAATGATGAATAACTGCTAATATACCTGATTGGTTCAATTAATTTATCCGGTAAAGATTTCAAAATGTATATCAGCCAGGCTTAGAGCTAATCATCGATCAATCGGTTCGTTTATTTTATAGCAGAAGAGAGTATAAATATTTTGAAATACACAAGATTTAATTGAAACTAAATTTTATTAAAAAAATGAAGAAATCTCTTATTGTTCAACTTAAATTAACATTTGTCAAAGAATAATTACAGTATATATGTATACCTTATTTACAACGGTAAAAAGGTTGCCAATATTACATCCGACCAATAAATGAGTGCGACCTTTTTTTTGTTCGTCAAGTAAAATTTTCCGGATATATTCTGTTTCATTACATGATGCACTATCTTGAAGAGCCCATGACCTAAATAGAGAAAATAAAATTTGCAATGCTTAGATAATTTGAATCTATTCAATTTCTTGTTGTGTAATAAGTAATAATCAAATAAATATTAGAATAAATTGGTTAAATAATAAAGTAAATTCATAATCCCTCAAAGTAAAAAATGAAAAAAAAATTTTTTTCGAACCTTCTCTTTGCAGCGCGCAATGTATCAGGTCGTATAGAGATTTGATCAGCTCTTGTTAGTTTCATATTATCGACCAGATCTAATGCCAACTGTTTATTTTGCTGTATCATAGTACTATTTGACTTTATCATCATACTCTTCTGTTGTTGTATTTGATGCTTTTCTACTATTTCCGATATTGATGATGATAATTTTTTATTCAAATGATCAGCTGTATCAAATATTCTCTCATCCAATTTTATTGTTTTATTGTCGGATGTATTTTCAACTGTTGGATATGGATCTTTCGGTGGTGATGGTGAGCTATTACGGTCAACGGTGAAATTCGCTCTGTAAAATCAAAATATAATTCAAATTTGAAAATCGATTATTTAAATTTTTTAAAGTTTTAATCTTAGAATGAAAAATATTTCAATATAGAAATGATTTTTGGGGATAGATATACTGAGCAAACAATAATGGTTGCAAAGATGATTTATAAAACAAATCAAGCGTAACAATTCAAAAAATTGCATCAAAAATCTTTCCTGGTAGGAATATGTCTTCTTCCTTTTTTTTTCCAACTTTTTTCTTAAATTATATTCCGAACTTCTCATCGATTTACTATAGCAATGCAGGTAAATCGGCTAAAATGCACTACTGTAATTTTATCAAAGATGCAATAAAATATCGTACCCATCTTTTTTAAATTTGGAAGTATTGAATGGCACGTTTAGTAGCTGAGGAGGACAACTTGAAGACAATTCAGATCTAGTATCCACAAGAGATTTCGATTGATTAACCTAAAAACAAACTATTATTTCATATCCTGAATCATGCACCAATGATATTTCAATCAATCCAGTATACAAATGTAAAATAATAACCAAAAAAGGAACAGGAAAATAACAACCATTTGATAAATTTGATCTAATCCAAATATTGTTAAGAATTCGAAATGCTTTATTTGGACTGTAAACTCATTAGAATAATATAAATATTGATAAGGAAAGGTAAATGATTGTGGTAAATGATTTGCTAAATAACTGGATAACAAGAAAATTGAAATTTCAGTTCAATTAATCATGTAAACAGATTACCTGAAACGGTTCAACAGATGCTCGTGGGCGATAAGGCAAATCAAAAGAAGGATTTGTTGGCTTTTCAGAATCGGAGATCGATGAAATCTGTCGTAACATCCTAATATCATTTTGTTGATTACTATGCGATACTACTGAATGCTGCGTTGATGGTAATATTGATGATTTTGATCCACTGATATCATTTTGTAGAATGATATCACTGTTCGATATTGTGGTTAGTGATGGCATTACGGATAACAATGTTTGCATAGTATCGGTCTGAAAAGTTCGGTTTTGCAATAAATAATTATAAGAGAGCAAGAAATGATAAATTAAATATAGATTAGTTGTACAGGCATTAGTATCAATTTAAAATTAAAAAAGGAAAAATTATAACAAAAATGAGATATTGAAAAGAACAAATACTTTTTATTCTCGCAATATTTTTAATTTAATTCAATAAGATAAAGAGAAAAAGTGAAGAAAATCTCAATGAACCATAACACATGATTTCTTCGTCTTATGATTATATACTATAAAATAAATAAATTGTGAAAGTGAATAATTAATAGAAAAATTTAAAAATTGAATAAACTAACGTTTGTAAGCTTTATTTGTGAACTCATTAATCTCTGTTGCTGTTCCCGAGCGGCATTTAATGCAATTAATCGACGATGGCGTAATATATCCAACTTAAATCGAAAAAACAAAAATAAAGGAGTTTTTTAATTCTAAATAACCTTTGACTTTGAATAAATATTACTCAACTAACCCTACATTCCAATTTGACTCTAACTAACTTATGACATTTAAATAAATATAAATCGATCAATAAATTCATACATTTCAATTTGTCTATCGTCTTTTTTTTATTCAGATTTTCAATCTAATCTTTTCATGTGACATAACCTTATTCAAAGTAACTGATCATTACCACTGCGGTTTAGATCTGATCTCATTTAGTTTTATATTTAAGAGAAGATTACACTTATGAAAGATGACGCTTCACTGTACACTAATTTTAGACAGCTGAAAATAATTGAAGCATGTAATTAGATTAAACTAAATTAAACTTTGATAAAAAACAATATAACATACTTGTGTTTGTAAGGAACTAATCTTAGAGATAACACTTCGTAAATGTTGCTCTTGTGACGTATAATTAATCTGCAAATTATTCAATTGTCGTTCAGCTATTATTCGACGATTTGATGCTTGTTGTGTTTCATCTTCTAACATTTTTAAACGAGCCATTTCACGTTCCTCAAATAGTATCTATAAAATTGAAAATAAATATAATAGAATAGAAAAATGGATGTGAGTTTAATTCTAATGATTAAAATGATAAAAATAAAAATAAAACGGTAATGATTTAAATGATAAAAATGAAAGGGGAAAAAATTTGATTTCATAATTTATCGAAAAAAGAAAAAAGAAGAAAATCATTTAAAAATTCTGTCAAATTTAAACGTCACTAATTATTGAATAAAAATCTGATTAAATTAAAATTAATATTAAAAGTCTTCAATTTAGACATTTAACCAATTTGTCCTCTTATAAAATAATCAAAAATGGGATTTTATTTCGTAATAAAAGTTTTAGCATTTAAATTATGTTTGGTAATTCATTTCAGTTTAATATTATTTCAGTCTAATCTTCATTAACTACAAATTAAACATTCATATATTTTATTAAAATTAGATATGATAATTATTGTTTTGTAGTATGTTAACAGTGAACATAAAAAAAAAAAAGCGATTGTTATAAGAAGCTGATATTCATTATATAATCTGCATGTTAATCTTTTTAATATAATCATTAAAACAACTTATCATTTGTAATTACTACTTTCCCTATCTCTATTAAACCTTGATAATATAAACCTCATTCCGGAGTACAGCTAAACGTATGGGTGCATTATCAATACCGCGGTTTCTACGTATCTCATGATCATGAATCATTCGACGATTAGCGTCAATCAAGCGTCGTTGTTGTTCCGCAGTTTGCACTAAGTCATCATATTTGATTGAACTGGAACTGAAATGAATTTGACTGATAATTTACACAAACTTCTAAATTTTAAATTAAGCATACCTTAGTGAAGTAATAATTTTTTTAATCTATCTATCGAAATTAATTTATACATGTTTCACTTTCCAACGAGTTATTTTCCTAATTATGATAATACCCATTAATTATGGATAGGGGGAAATCATTTCATTACCCACAGAATGCACAATCATATCATATCATATCATATCATATCATAAGTAGTATTTCAAAAATGTAGAATTTATTCAGGAGTGGAATAAATTTTAACGCCTTAGAAATATATCATTTCTCTATCAAGTATAATTGTGATATTTAAAAATGAAAAAAATTAAAATCGATTGGTTTTTTTAAAAATCTTAGTCAACGAAACCAATTTTGAAATTTGACAAATATTTCAAATACTAGGAAAACTTCAACTTCTTATTTATTAATTAAGTGCTTATCATTATTATATATATTGAATAAAAATTTGCAAAAAACTCACCCGTGATAGTTTCGTTGAGCTCTTGAATGTGATGTTGTGTGTTGTGTTGGTGGTTGAACAACACGAATTGGTTGATGTGACATCTAAAAAAGAATTTTGATTATTTTAAGCCAATAAAAAGTTTTCAAATACAAAAAAAAAATCCATTAAGAAATATTGTTGCAAAATAAATTTTTGAAACATTTCCTATAAATTATACAATATGAATTATTCAAATTTTAAATAAATTTGCCAGAATTTCATCTTCTATTCCAGTATTATACGAAAAAGTATGGACAGATATGAAAAATATTAGCGGACAGATATTATTTAAACATATTTGACAATTTCTCGCTAAATTTTTTCATTAAAATTAATGGATGATCGGGGAAAAAAACTCCAAAAATGGAAATATTGCAATTGCAAAATGTATCATCAACGTGTCATTTCAGATAATTGAATGCTTTGACATTATGGGTTAATTAAATCAATTATAAATTATTGCTTCCATTATTAGGTAAGGAAGTTTTCCATTATTTTAGAGAACATCAGAAATCATCGCTGATGATAGAAGAATTGTCAAATGAGATAAACTGCTCAAAAGTATTGTCAAATGAGACAAATTGCTCCAAAGTATTGTCAATTGGTAGACAAAATTACCTATAACTATCATCATTAGCAGTCAAATTTCCACAAATAGCACAAACTGGTTAGTATCGGGGGAAAAAAAAATATTTAAAATAGGAAAGGAAAGATGGGATATTGGTATATTCATGAAAAAGTTATGTTTGCATAATTATTAACATTGATAAAAATGTTTGAATGATCAGAAATTGAACAATACGTTTGCATCAAATGGATTGCAAAATATAATACTTAAGCATTAATGAAAGTGTTATGAAATGAGAAGTAAAATTTAAAATTACTATTACTGTTATATTGCCAGCTTACTATTAGTTAATTTATGGTCGTAAAATTAATTTGGCAATGAAAAACAATTAAATTGAAAAACAAGCTAATTTATGATTACAAAATTAAATTGGAAGTGAATAAATTGAATATAATAATTTCGAATTTAAATTACATCACATAAGAAGTTTAAAATTTTTGAAATAAAATGAAGATGGATAGAATTTCAGGAATTTTAGCAACTTTTAATCTCTGTTTAATTTTCAATAAAGCATATATAATATATATCGTGGAAGTCAAACACAAAAATGAAAACTTTAAAGAGTAGAGAAATTTTAAAAACATTACAAGTCGATTAGAGATATATAAGGAAACAATGAAGCGGGTAAAAGGGCAGAGCGGGGGAAAGAGTCGGGGGAAGCGGGGATGGGAAGAATAGTTTGGGATTTGATACAATCGATGAGCAACAATTATATCAATTTTTGATTGATCCTTTTGCATATTATGCATTTTATTACAAATGAAAATTTTTAACCAACTAAGATGACAAATACATTAGATGACAAAAGAATGTGAAAAAAAAGAAAAAAAAGACAGAAATAGCTAAAAAGTAGTGAGTTATTATTTGCACCGTACATTCGCGGTTTCGTATTCTTCGAGGGTAAAAAATTGTACCATGATGACGATAGCTAAGATAGCACAGGATCTGATAAAGTAAGATATCATAGTATCGATAGTTAAGATGCCATGGTACCCATAGCTATGATATCACGGTATCAGTAGCTAAGATATCACGATGCTGATAACTAAGATACCACGGTACTGATAACCACGATATTGTTATGCACAAAGATACATTAAACTTAGACAAAAACGCATCTCACTGTACAAATGATCACAATGATTTTATGCATTATTTTCAAAAAAAAAAAATTCAAGTTTAAAAGAAAGAAATTGTTGCAAAATGGGTAAAGTGAAATTTACTAGTTTAGTAAAATTTTGAAAAATTTGGAATTTCAGCTAAAAAAGAAAGAAAGGATGAAGTTGGAAAGAAGAAATTTAGAAAAAGTAAAAATGGGTGACAGTTTAAAAGATACTGCAACAAGTTGTTACTGTTATTGTTGTTGCTGTTGTTATTGTTATTGTTATTGTTGTTGTTGTTTATTAGAGGTGAAATGAATTTGAAAGAAGAGATCGTTGGGAAGATGATGAAGAAAATGAAAAGGAACAGAGTAATCAACAATTAAGCTTGTAAAAAAAAGAAATTGAAAATAAAGGTAACAAGGATGAATGATAAAAAAGAAAAAAAGAAAGGAAGGGAGAGAGAGAGAGAGAGAGAGAGATTCCTGAACCAAACCAAATTGTACCTCAATTTCTGCTTTTTCAAGGTGATCATCTATCGTCGATCGTTATAAGATGATTATAAAATTTGAATAGAATATAAGAAAATGATAGAAGACATAATGAAAGATATGGAAAAGTAGAGAAGGGTATATGATCAAATTAAAAATCAAACAAGAATGATGTAAAATGAAGGTCAGAAAAGAGGTAAGCGGATCAAGGAAAGAAGGAGGAGATAGAATGAAGCGACATGGGAAGGAAACAAGCGACAATTTCGCTGTCGCCAACGATTAATTACAGAGAGGAGTAACCTGTAGAGGAAGAACATACGCTGATCATCTCTATCGTTCTTCCTTCATTAATGTATGTATACCTTTTGGTTTCCCTAACTCAACAACTTCTACCAATGGTCATTTGCTGACCACTAACAGATAGCTTATATATATATATATATATATATGTGAATATATTGATCCGAATTGATGTGTCACCTTCAATTCCAACACATGTCTTTTCATTAATATCATCGTGAAAAAAAGAGAGGGAGTGAGAGAGAGAGAAACGAAGATATTCATTAATGATTCATTTCACATTTTTATAAAAAAAGTATCCCAACTCTGATAAACTACTACTTGTAAAATATTTCGGAAAATGTTAATTAAAATTCTTCAAAAGTAATGTTAGAAAATCTCATAACTTATCAATACCTAATAAATTGTCAATAATTCAAGATAATACTGAAAGTATCTTCTCATGATAATACTTGATCATTTGATCAATAGAATAATAACTCTTATCACGACTTGAATCATTCATATGTATTATAACTAGATTATATTAGATTGAAGAAGTACTGTGTAGTTCCATCAAATATCAGTGCAGTGTTTTAGAAATGGTAAGAAAAAAAAAGAAATGGTGTCAAGAAGATGATTCAGAAGACTGACGACGTAATGATTGACTTCAGGTCTAATTCCAAATTGGAAGATTTAAATTTCCACTTCCTTCTTTCAATTTCATTTTCTATTTCTTTTATTATCGTCCGACAATTGTTAAAGTTGACATTTTTTTTGATGAAATAATTCCATTTTTTTTTCCGCTTAAATATTTAGTCGAAAAAAAAGAGAAAAAATTTTATATTTTAAACTTGAAAAGAAAAACAAAAAAACTCAAAGGAAAAGATAAAATCAAAACGATGAAAGATAGTTGTCACTAACTGATAGTATTAACAATAGTGTTAGCATTAAATTCAGTTATGATAAATTGTCCAGAATGATTAATGTCTAGAAAATTTTCAAACAGAAAAAAAAAGAGAAATACGGAAGCATTATTTTAAACTATTAATATCACTAATGATATCATTAAATATGTTTGCTTAACCTTTGAACTATGTTAACTTTAACGGAATTATTCAAGCGGAAATTTTTTTTTTGATCTTTGACTTAATGGGTATATGCGCGAAATGAAGTGGAAGTGAACTTTGTGACACAAATTATAATCTTTAAGGTCATCGTTCCGTTTTTAATTTGTGTAATATTATCAATTTCATTTTTTATGCTACTACCTACAACGCATGGCGCTAATGGACGAAATTTTTTTTGACCTGAAGAAAGGAGAGAGAGAAAGAGAAAGAAAGAAAGAAAAGATTTCTTTTTTTTGCCATAAAGAAGAAAGAGAGAAAGGGAGAGAGAAATTCTTCTCCGCAGCTTACATTATCATATCTCTCAAATTAACTAACAGCAGCTATCTGTTTGTTATCACCACTAATTTTATCGCCAGCTAAAGTTAAAATTTGTAAAAAAATATTGAAAAGGTAGATAAGGATGCATTTTAGCTTCTCAATCGTATCAGCGCTCTCAAATAAAGGATATTTTATTTATCAATCATTCTCTCTCTCTCTCTCTCTCTCTCTCATAATATTACAATGACAAAAGAAGCAAAGAAATGAACAAATGTCGGCAAAACTTTTATACAACATCCATATATCCCAAATATATTTCTTTAGGAACATTTTAAGACAATGTTGGAATATTGCAATGTAATGTTAATTGAAACATTTAGGAGAAAGGTTGTTGCGACCAAAAATTGTTTGCGTCAAATTTTAGAAGTAAAGTTATTTTGCGCCAAAATTTAAAAGAAATTGTTTGCGACAACATCAAAAGAAAAGTTGCTTGCGACAACATTTAGAAGAGAAGTTAATTTGCAGAAAAGTTTGAGAAATTAAAAACAAATAATCTTTCGAAGCATACAAGAGCATGCTTAAAAATCTCCATGACTCTAATTAATTTCAAGTAAACAAACACATATACAGTAGTCAAACGAATAACGCATATATACAGTAATTATTGGAGGAAATATTAATTAACAGTCCCAAAGGAATTCAACCAACTTTATGTAAATATTTTCAAAATCTATATCATAGTACCTTTAAACCGAAAATTATAAATCTTGTTGTGGCGGACGAAAAAATTTAAAAGATGGATGAACTGGAAAATTTCGTTGAATTTTTACTAGGCCACTTTTAAAACGACTTTCCGATAATATTTTGAAACTTTCGGATGAATGAAATGGGATTAGCCAGTGTAGAAATAACATTAGTCCGGTATTTGTTCAATACATTGAGAAAAACGGAAACGGAAAAACTGACGAAATAGTCTGAAATAGTCTGGAAACAATTTATCTCGCATATTGAAAAATTTATTGCACAAAGTTACGATAAATAGTTTGTAAAGGAATGAATGATGGATGATATATTTACTTGAAAGTAGTGATTTGTATGGAATAATTATTCTACGAAATCATCAAAATTGGAATAGACCATTTTTTTTTGAAAGCAGGAGAGAGGGTAACTTCAGTTTCAAGATTATCTGGTTAAAAGAATTTAAGATTTTAAGCTTTTCTGAATAATTACCACTTTCTTTATTACTTATTGATTAATTATTATTAGAAAAGCTTTGATAACGGCAGAAAAAAAATAAAAGATCGAAAAACAATAATGCAATATTTTCCGATTTATCTACAAACCATAATTTCAAATCCGAACCTTTCCGGAACCATTTTGAAAACTATAGTTAATAATTGAATGAATGATTGATTTAATAGTCATTTTACCAGAAAGAATATTATATATTTTAAGTAATGGAGTATAAATGATAATATTTGAAGATGGTGATTAACTATAAGTGTCACCTTAATCTGTTATTTAGTGTCAACAACGATTAATTCCCATCTATTTTTCATCTTTGTCCTTTTTTTCCTTTGAACTAATCCTTGAATATCACCTAAACCTGTTCTATCGTCAAATTATTGAATAAAAATTCACCAAAAAGAAAAGAAAAAAAGAAAAGAAAAACAATTCCAATTTCAAAAAAGGAAAAATTTGTTAAAAAAGAAATCTGTGGAACAAAGAATAAATTAATAAACATTAGAAATGACTGTTATCAGAAAAATTTATTAAAAATATTAAATGTTAACCGTCAAATGTTGGGAATAATAATAAATGAAATCTAAGAAAGATACGAATAAATCATTCGTTGAATTCTGCTAAGATAAAATGTAAAATGACAGATGACAAATGACAAATCGATGGAAGGAAGTGGTTAGTGGACAAAGTAGCGCAACAAAGATAGCATAACAAAAGTTAATCGGTAATAGTATTGGAATCATATATGGAAAATGCGATGATGAAGATTTGACCTAATAAGGTCCGTCTTTTTGGGTGAATTGAACTTTTCAAAACGTGATTTACTTATACATTTTCTCTACTAAGTTAATAAGAATTATGCAATGAATCACATTTGTAACAATTCATGAAACTTCATGACATCAATTAACTAACATTTCCTTTTGTTCCACTTCATCAATTTAAAAAAAAAAAAAAAATTTAATCAGTGTTAATATCAATGTGAAAGGTCAAAGTTACAAAAATGCACTTTATGCCCCAGTTATTTGTTCCTGAATACCTACCTGACTTATTAATGTCAGTGTTGGAGGTCAATATGCAAAAATGCTCTTTATGCTTCGTTTATTTCTGAATACCTACTTGACTTATTGTCAGTTTTAGAGGTCAATACTATAAAAATGTACTTTATTTGTCGGTTATTTGTTCCCGAATGCTTGACCTTAGATAATGCAAAAGTCCACTTGAAATGTATGAAGAAGTTTTAGACTTTCAGTCAAAACTACATAAACGATAAACTATCATACCAAGTACAACGGGAAAAGATAGAAAACTAAGTTTATATATTTATTCATCTGCAAGAAATGAGAATTAAATTAAAAAATGATTGTTAAAATGTGTAGTAGTTTTTAATTAATTACTTTGTCATATGAGTAATCTTTGGTAATTATTCCATATTGATATATTATTATGATCCAAGTAAAAGAGGTACTGCATCGAAAATTCGGATAGACATGATATTTAGATAAATCATACGATTGTTGTACAAAGTGAAAAAAAAAAGAAAAATAAACGAGATAGAATGACATTATAGATATTGAGAGAATATTTAAGATCATTCTAAAATTGTTCCTCATTTTTTGTTGGTCAGTTGGTTATCTTCTGTTGAAAAAAAAAAAAGGAAGGCTATGCAACAATTATGCAAAGATGACAATTATGTAAAGATGATTTAAACAAAGATAACATAGGGAAAAGTAAACAGTATATCTTATGTGGGAGTCACTAAATGTATGGACAAGAACTTATAGAGTTTATTATTTGAATTTAATTTCCAACTAATGACAAATGTAAAAATTTGTAAATAAATTAAGTTGAAAAAAATGATGTAACTACTATTAGCATTTTAATGAATTGATAGTGAATAAAGGGAAAGGTGCAATTAAATTAAGAAACTTAAACATTTTTTAATTTTATAGGAAAAAAAACTTCATCTTCCTTTAAATTCTTTCGTCACTTTTTTTTCGGATATGAATGGTACTTCCTATGCAGGAATTTTTAAAATTGAATTGTAATTCTTCGTCTTTTTTTGAATAAAATCATTGCAAATTAAAAAATTAATTCTAATTATTAATTACTTTAAATCTATTTATATCAGAAAAAAATTCCATCGCCCTCTAAATTCTCTTCTTATTTTTTCTGGATATGAATGATAATTCTTTAATTTCTTAAATTTTAATTCTTTAATTTTTTCTTTAATTTAATTTTTCTTTTTTTAAATCTAACCTTTGAAGGAAGAAAACCATTATTTGATTGAATCCTACTCAATGAATCAGTTGCATGTATCAGTTCCACACCATCATTTATACCATTACCATTACTACAACTATTAGCAGCAGTACGATTGTATCCATACATTAGCTATAACTACGAAATGTTTGTAGAGAATGAGGAACTGGAAATCGTTAACTAAAAAATTGATTGATTAAAACGTGAATTGAAAATAGATCATGAAAAATTACGAAAATTAAAAAGCAACGACAAAATAATGCATGAAATATTTACATCAAAATATAAATAATCCTATAGCAGTATTAGGATTTTAGATTATTTAGCACAATATTTTCAATTAAAATAAAATGATCGGTTAACTAATCAAGACTAATTAGCTAAGGAAGAATTACTTAGTTGATAAGCAATTCAATTATGCTTATAAGTGATAAAATTAAATACATAAAGGCAAGCAATCATTGGATAATGAAATTTTTGGAAGCATTTATTATTACACTGTTCAAGTATTCAGAACTTATTGTATGCTCCTAATTTAATCAGTCTTATATGCTCATTAAATATCAGTTGATAAACTGATAAAAGTGTCACCCTTACACTACCAAATATATCATCAATTTATACATATCCTAGAAACACACCAGATCTACTGATTTAATCAATCTGATAACATTCGTAGTGATATAACTGTAAGCGACATGATCAATAATGATAACATTCGTAATAATATCACTGTAAACGATCAGGTTTGTTGATATTATTAAGCAAATCAAAATCTGAAAAAATAAACTAAAATAAATTTCAATTCTATCGATAATAATTTCATTGCTAAAAATAGTTTCATTTTTGCGACAGTGTAATAATCATTGTCGAAGTGTCACGACAAAAGAAGAATTTGAATATAAATTGAACGAACTGAAAATAAAATAAACGAACTGAAAATGATAAATATAATAAAAAAATTCAGGCATGGAATGTTCATTTATTTGCTTTGTTTATCAAGTATTTGATTTGATGATTTCATATAAGTGTCACCAATAAGAAGCTAATTAAATGAGTTCGAAATAAGTAACAAAGAAGAAAGTAGAATGGATGGAAGTGAAAAAGTAAGTTTACAAAGAAGTTGATGAATTAATAAATGGGGTAATTTTAAATGAACAATATCAGCAAATTTGAATTTTAAATTCGATATATTAAGATTCAAATATAAGAACTAGTATATTCATATATCTCTTATATGTGAAAAAGTTATCAAAAATTAATAAATTATTAAGAATAATTTTTCCAAACTATTGTCAGTATTGCAATCTTACTATGTTTGTTTCTTGATATGATAAGGAGCAATCGTAAACAGTAATTTAGTGCTAGAAATAATAGTTAACTTTACCTTCTTATCAGTTAGATTATATCAACAGTATTGGAATCAATGTTATTTTTAAATTGCCTCACTTTCACTCACTCTCTCTCTCTCTCTCTCTCTATTACTATATATATGTTAAATCAAATATTAAAATAAACAAATCCAATTTTAATAACTGAATAATTAGCCAACTAAACAAATGAGGGAAATAAATATAACTAAAATTCCCTAATTAAATAAAAATAAAGTGGTGGATTAAAAAAAAAAGCGACAGATTTTGATGAAATTTGAAAAACTAAATGATACTGAATGGACGAAAATGACCCTTTCAATACTACTGACCAAAGATTATGTGCCAAGTTATAAAGGGTATAGCTTTCTTGGCCATTTTAAACATTTATCAATGGCTAAACTTCACCAATATTTTGTAGCAAAGCCTCAAATAAGGCTAGAAGAAAGAATATAGCTATAATATTTAAATACTATGATATCATTGATATGGTCTGATAAAATGACCATATTTGGCCAAATCAATGCATGAGGTATAAGTATAGAGGTATAGAGATAGTCTCGTATTTCACACACTACAAGTCTATTTAATCAGGAATTCTAGCGTACCACAATCGAACAGACTATTTTCACTAGAATCTTTTAGGCTATAAATGGACTATACCAATCTACAATGAATCTGAAATACTACGAAAGATTAATAAGAGTGCTGTTTCGGATAAGTAATCATTCTTATCAGTTTCAAATTTAATTTTGAATTGACAACAAATACATTTCATTTTAACATTAATTCTAATTATCAAATAAAAAAACGCTAAAAGGTAAACAGATAAAGACACCAAAAGGTAAACAGGAAGGACGAAAAGTCTTTGTGTGAACAATTAACTGTAATTGCTATAATGGAATTATTGAGAAAAGTTGAAGATATGTTAACACAAGGGATGTTACAAAAGCATAGTAACTAATAAGAAAATAATATCAGTTATTAAATCGCTTATGTTCTCTGAACTTATCTGATAATTATGATAACAAAGCAGTATGATATAATTGAAGAGTAAATGATATTTTCTGAATAAATGATAAGATTACATTTATATGATAATTAATGAAGATATTGCAAAATCATTTTCTATCTTTATTTATTTGCCGAGAAAAAAAGCAATTAATAAAAGTATTAATCGGCAGAATGAGTAATCATTCATTCATTAATTAAACGTTTACATACTCATAATTGGATAGTTAGATGAATGAAATTATTTGAACGTTTTTTTTTTTGTATAGTAACATTCTGGTTTAGGAAGAAGAGAGAGAGAGAGAAAGAGAAGTAAAAAAAAAGGACAAAATGAAAAATGAAAATGTTTCGTTACTGTTATATGACAAATAGACGACATCATTTTCATCCATCCGTCCATCCATCTATTTTATAAATGAATAGATAAGAAAGAAGTTTGGAGAATAGAGTGGAAGAACGAGTTGACAATAACACCATCGTTTGGATGATGATCAAACCGATCTGTTGACATTATCTTAGAATGAGAAGTTGAACAATCCGAACAGAATGTTGTTGCTACTACTACTGCTAATCAATGAATAGCGTAAATGTCACACTACCGCCCTGAAAGAAACCACAACATTCCTTTATAAACAAAATAAGCAAACAAGAAGTGATCTTCCATGAATGAATGAAGGGAAAGTTCTGGTATTTACTTACTTTATCTAGCTTTTTATTCAATAATACATCATCCAAAACTTGCTCTCTTCATCCAATAGTACTTACTTTATCCAAAAGTTCTTCCTTGCATACTTCATCTAAAAGTACTTGCTTACTTACTTTATGCAATAGTACTTGCTTACTTACTTTATGCAATAGTACTTGCTTACTTAGTTTATGCAATAGTACTTGCTTACTTAGTTTATGCAATAGTACTTGCTTACTTAGTTTATGCAATAGTACTTGCTTACTTACTTTATGCAATAG